ATTCCTAACATCTTTATCAATAAACAACTAGTAACCAACTTTCAATGCAAAAACAGTAGATACATAATTTGTTACAGGACTAAAACTTACTTCACATACGACTCAACCACAGAAGACAAAACGTAATTGATTTTTTTGTTTTTTTTTAAATTCACAAACTTCAAAATGAGTTAAACATTAAAGCTAAACAAATATGCATTATTCGACTATGAAGAAAATTATGATCTCTTGAGGACAATCAGTTTTCTTGCAATTCTTTTGCTTCATTCAACCTTAAGAGGGTGACTGGCACACTGCATTGTGGTTTACAATTAGGCTGTGATATCTAAGCCTTTCGTCCCATCACATCCATTTTCAGAAAAACCATAATTACGACCTCTTTTACACCAGTTTAGTATTGAGCATATGATGCTAGACTTATATTTTTGTAGAGCAATCATCACTCAGTGTGTGATATGGTCAAAATTACGCTAGCCCCCTTCACTTCTAGGGACTTTTCCTTAGTACCAGTTTTAGTCTGGGCCAACATCCAACTCAATGTGGATTTGACCCCAAGACCTTCATGCTGGCAGGCCAGTGTCTAGACACTGTGCTACTGTGACTCCCTAAAATAAAAATTAGTTGCCTTTTATGGCATGTTTGTTAGAGGACAAAGAATATATTCTTCCAGCCAACCCCCCCCCCCCCCCACCCCCAAATGGGGCCTGGAACCCAAACATCAGTGCTTGTAGTAATAGAAGCATCTACATGTTATATTCTGTTAAGGAAGCAAAGAGTAGCAGCCCTATAACCCACCAAGCATGATGTAGGAGGCAAATATGAAAGGGGGGGGGGGGGGGGATTGAGACTGACTACCTTATCCCATAGCTGCAACTTCCAACAGAGTATGACACAAGTTAAAGTGATCATTTAATAACATTTACAATTTTCAAACTAAACAAAACACATGTGCAAATTCTTCATGCTAATATGATACCCTAATTGATGACAATCCACAGACTACATGTAGTTGATGCTCTAATGTGTAAAAAAAAATCCATTTTAATATTCTAGAACATATTCTAATATTTACTCCTAATTCTTGTGTGATTCCAGTACTAACCTATGGATGCAAGAGCTGGAAATCAACAAAAACTCTAGACACAAAATTAGACAGTTTTGAAAATAAATGCCTTAGAAGAATACTAAATTTCAAATGGTCAGATTTCCGAACCAATACACAAATAAGGCAAGAATCCAGGCAAGAGTATGTGTCAAATTGTATACAAAAACGCCGCTGGAACTATGTCGGCCACGCCCTTAGAATGGATAAATCAAGACTTCCTTACCAAGCCCTCATTTGGACACCACAGGGGAAAAGATCTCGTGGAAGACTAAGGGAAACCCTACTTAGAACTATCATCAGGGAAGGCTCGCTCATGGGCCACTCAAACATCCAAGACCTACAACGGATTGCAACGGACCGCCGTGCATGGAGAGTCACGACCTCTGCCCTATGTGCCGCACTCGACACAAGAGGAAAGACTAACTAACTAATACCATGGAGAAAAGAAAAAGAGACTAAGATCAATCAAAACTAGACAGATTCAGTGAGTGGTGCCAGGTCATGCTGGCATAAAGGGTAATGTGCAAGCAGACCAACTGGCGATCAATGCACCAACGCATGTGGGAAGAAGCATGGACAGAGCTGATATCATCAACACTGTACAGAATGGACTAGTGGATAATGACGAATCTCTGACACTAACACAACTGTGTGACATGGGAGTTAAGCTTTAGTCTTGATCTAGAATTTGAGTTTTGCATGCAAATCTATTTCAAAGATTTGGCTTATCTGTATGCACTGCTGGTTCCTCGCCTCTCAGGAAGATGCGCTCTGTCTTAGAAGGCAAATCTCTCATTTGTAAACTTTTACAACATGCTTTTTTTTTTATACAGGAGCCATTGGGTCCATTCCTTTTTCTCCCCCCAAAATAGGGCATTAGAACAAATATAGGGAGTGAGACAGTAAAACTGTGACTTTGTGCGAGTCGACTGAGGACATATGTTACAGTGGGCAAAACAGATAGAAGCAGATGAAGAACCCAAAAATGAAGTCATTTAGTGTATTTTTCCATGTATAAGGCACCCTATTTTTTTTTTTTTCCCACAATTAAGAAATAAATATTTTAAACACATTCCAAGTATAAGATGACAAAACACTTGGGAAAACATTTTGTCTTATACGTAGAAAAATATGGTATCTGTGAAAAGATGTGGGTGTTACTCATTTCTAGGTGGGACCTGTTACTTCCAATCATTAGTTTAAGGCCAACCATCTACGAAAATACAGAAAGCCACATCTGTGCTCTCTTCGATGCTGTATGGCGCAAGCATTTCGTCAAAAGAAGAACATATACATGCCGTCATTATTTAACTAAGGTCCATAACAAAAAATATGGAATGTCACTGCAGTCTACAATGCATGTCATAAGAGGCAGTTATGGTAAATTGGCATGAGGTGATTTGGTTATCTATACTGATGGTTCGGTGTTGAGAGGAAAGAGAAGTGCCTAGGTGTTCTTAGCGAAAGCCAATGAAAAATCTTTAGTGCAAGACAGCCTAGCATACAACACCACAACATCTAGCATGAGAATGGAGGTAGAAGCGGTAACTGCAACTTTCCAGTAGCTAGAGAACAAGATGCATACACATGTCATAACTGTAACAGACTCTGAAAGCATGCTGGGAAAGGTGAAAACAGGGGGTGGCAAGCTTCACTGGGAAGGTCATGGATAGTGAGCATACTTTGGATCTTTTCTCCAGGCCATGCCGGTAGATTGGCTGGATCTGTACCACTGGGTGGTGAACTGATACATGACAAGGCAGATGTGGTCAAGGCCTATTAGGAATAAGAAATGGAATCAGTACAGAAACAAAATTATTATGGCCTGGACAGAATGAGGCACCTGGGTGTAACCAGAGGGTCTGGCCGTCTCACTACACTCAGAGGAAAAGCAAGACAGACATATAACCAGATTGTGACCAGTACCATCAGTATTGGAACTCTGCGCTGGTTGCTGAAGGTGAGGACGGAGCATACATAGGAATGCCCCGAGAGCTGTCATGTCAATTTTTGACTCACCTTAACTAAACTAGACTGGACAAGCTTATGCCGCAGAAAACTTTAGCTGCAGAATCCTAGCAATCATGAACAAGTCAACCCTGCTTTTGTAAGTTTATGTTAAATGTACAAATATACCACAACTGCCTTTAGACCATGAAGTCAGCAACATTTTAATAATGTGCTGGTCATAATGCAAGTTATGCCGTATTTACAATCTAAATTCAAGATATTTGTATATAAACTAGTTAAAGTTCTTTTTAATCTTCCCTTTTTTCTTTTTTTTTTTTTTGGATGTTTTGTAGAGTACTTTTGTGCCATTCAAAATCAGTTGTTATTCTAGGTGTGATAAGTGACTCACAATTAGTCACACAATAATTGAGTGACTCCCAATTAGTCACACAGTTACTCAGTGACTCACAATTAGTCACAAGATAAATGAAAAAATTGGTGTGCATGCCGAACAGTGAGCCTGCTCTACACTCTAAATAAGTGTATAAAACAATAAAGGAAGTGTATTAATGGTTTCTATGTAACAGATGCTAAGTTACAGGCGAAAATAGAAGGCAATGACTTTACTGGTGGTGTGTGTGTGTAAAGGGGGGGGGGGGGGGGGGGGAGTTCTGAAAGACTTTAGATCGGCCAGTGGATGATTCTCTGCTCTCTCTCTGTGCTAAGGTCTCACTGTACTTTACTGGGGAAGAAAAATGAGATTTAGGATATAATACTGTGCAAAGTGAAGATACACAAAGGTCATTTTACTGTTGAACTTGTAATCAATCAATCAATCATATCTGGTCTTTAAAAGAAAGTGAATCCAGACTTCCCCTGTTCTGCGCTTGTTCTACAGTCTCTGGAGCTACCATTCATTAATCTCCTTATCTTGTCCTCCCACTTGTCCCCAGTCTATTTTTTGTTTGTATACCTTAATTTTTTTGGCTTGCAAGCATTCATTTTTTAATAATTTTTTATTTGGCTGCTAGTATGGTTTTTATCAGTTTTATGTCTTTTAATGTAGTTGAAATATCTTACTTGACTCCTTTTTTTTTTGTTCAACAGCCCTTGATTTATTCCCAGACCATCTAGAACCACTGTATTTGACTGTTTTTGCTTCTATGAAAGATGACCTATCTTCTATATATCCAGAGCCTTAACTCGACTTTCTAACTGTACTAGTATTTGCACAACATGGAATGGACGTAGCACATAATATTTGACAACTTCCAATGTTTCACAAAAAGGGCATGTGGACTGCAAATATCACTTCTAGATATATGGTCACAGCTTTAGGAAGAAGTAATTGAAGCTTTATACTTATAAAAGCAGTGTATCTTGGAAATACTACAGAAAAAGATAACAAGATGTGTGTGTGCATGTGTGTATGTGACACAGAGAGAGACAGATAGACTGACAGACATACAGACAGAGAGCCTAACAAATAAATATAAAGACAAGCAGGCAGACAAGTAAGCTGGTAAGCTATCTTGGTATATAAGTAACGAGGAAAATAGACATGCACACAAAAAAAACAGAAATTTAAAAAAAAAATCAGTAGGACAGCAACTGAGAGAGAGAGAGAGAGAGAGAGAGAGAGAGAGAGAGAGAGAGAGAGAGAGAGAGAGAGAGAGAGAGAGAGAGAGAGAGAGAGAGAGAGAGAGAGAGAGAGAGAGAGAGAGAGAGAGAGAGAGAGAGAGAGAGAGAGAGACAGACAAACAGATGGAAAGACTGATAGAGAAATAGAGAGAAAGAGAGTTGCATGTGTGCACATACATATGAATAATGACAGATAGATTTAGTAATAAGAACAAACAACAAAGGAAACATTTATCTGAGCACAGAAATATATTTTATTTAAAACAATGAACAGGTAATCAGTAATGAACAAACTAAATCTTACTTGTCTTTTTCTGCATCTGCCCGGAGTTTTTCCAAAGCTCGTTGTTTGGCTGAATAGTTCAGTTTTCCTCCTACAAGAATGTACACAGATATAAACAAATGAGGAACCTTTCAGGCTGTAGAAATATTATACATATCTTTTTTCTTCCTTCTTTGCATACACTGACTAAACTCCGGCGGAAAGTTCTGGTCGTTTATCCACCTGTGCACTTTAGTCTTGTTCAGAACTTGAGTGTTGTATGCACATCTGTTCAACAGATCTGCCTTAATTGTATGCAGATTTCTGGTTCCTTGCCTCTCAGGCAAATGTACTCCGACTTTGCAGGAAACCCCCAATTAGTCGACTCTTACGACTTGCTTGGTAGGGAGGCAGCCGATCTATTGTTGTTTTCCCCACAATGGGAGCCCCCAGAACCCACACATGGAGTTATATATAATAAACAAACCAACATGTATTGATTAGCCCTCATAGAAATAAGTAAAATAACAGAAGGACACACTAGACAACATAAAAATTTCAATCTTATGTGCCAATTCCAGGCATCGAACCTGTAAACAAATAGTGACAACAGTGTCATCTTCAGTAACAAGTGTTTTTGCAACAAGGTGCTGTCACCGTTTGGTGATGGTATAATTAATTCCCTGCTTTATAGTCCAGAAATGTTCTTCTGCCTTTCATCCACCTATTTTCATCTTCTGCTGTATCCATCCTTAAAAGGGAGTCCAACATGTTGTATTGTGGTTTGCAGCTGGGCTGTGATATCTACATCTTTCAGCTAAACACAAATAATTTAAGCAAATTCTCAATTAGTCCCCTTTTATAGCATGCCTTTTAAGGAGCAGTGGGTCTATCCCCCTCCCCCAAAATGGGGTCCCAGAACCCATACAGGGAATTTTCAATTCCCAGTGTAGAATATGCCCTCAACCAAATCATTCATATTCTTCTTCTTAAGGTCTATGCCATGTGGGATTGGCAGACATGTCTATCCACAACTATCTGACTTGGGTACTTTCAATCAACTCAGACATAGATAATCCTCCATGCCATGATGTCAAACTGTTCAGCATCTTTTTGCAGTTTCCCTCTGCCTCTCCTCCCCTCCAACTTTACTACCATCATGATGTACTCCAGTTTTCACCTTCTTATCACATGAGGAAAGAATGTAGATTGTCTCCCTCTAATGTGGGCAACCAGTTCTCTTCGTGAGTCAGTTTCTTTCAAGACGTCTTCGTTACCTTTTTTTATCTCTCCAGGGTATCCTCACCATTCGCCTATAAAACCGTATCTGTGCAGCTTCCAAATAAGTTTTCAATAATTTGCCAACTGTTCATGATTTACTTCCTTTATGAACTTGTTCACAGAAACGAGCAGAGAATCACCAAGCAGGCACACAAATGGAAACGGGAGGGGGGAGAATGAGACGTTAAAAAAATGGAGACCTTAGATGAACGTTGATGAGAGAAGCCGAAGGTGCTGAGATGTGCCAAGACTTAGCCACTACAACATCTCACTATTTTTAAAAACTTGCTCCCTGCTCTTCTTCTTCTTCTTAGAGTTCACGGGCTGTAAATTCCGGGGCAAAGTTCTGGTTGTCTTTCCCTTTCTGGACTTCAGTTTTGTTCCAGAAGAGTTGTGTAGGCACATCCATTCTACAGATCTGATTTCTTCTAAGCAGACTGTTGGTTTCTCACTTCTCAAACAGAAGCACTCTGTAGGAAAACTCCTAATTAGTCACTTTTCATGGCACACTTGGGGGGAGGGGGCAACCCCAAATAGTGCCCCAGACCCCCCCCCCCCCACCCCACCCCCATCCCCCTATAGGTAACACCTTTAAAGCTCCTTCACCGCGCTCACTTATTTCTTGCTGCTTCATCCTCTTTTTGTGATCTTCTCACTCTCCTAATAATTCCCACTTCCCACACAAGATCTTACCTCGGGCAGTGTCAACCAAGTACAGCACAACAGAAGCTATCAAGGCCACTGTAAGAATAAATCAGCAACCAAACATTAGCAACTGATATACTACTCAGCTTTACATCACTTTATCTTTCTTCTTGTCTCAGGGTTCATTAACAAAGTCACCAATTTTTCTCAAGGTTTGTTTCCTTTAAGGATTTCTCAAGGTGTTTTTGACATTTTCAAGGTTGTATTATGCCTTCTTCTTCTTCTTCTGAGTTTAACTGTAAAAGGACTTTTATGCTGTATTTTAAAGGGAGGCTGCAACATCTTTTACTTTTCAGCTGAACACATCCAAATTCAGCAAATAGGTAATTAGTCAAACTTAATTTTTTTTTTTTTTAACATGCGGTTGAGGAGGGGGACAGCTTTGGAGATATAAAGTTGTGTCCAGGCTGGACATGAATGATACAGGTATTGAGGTGGAGTCGTGGAAACAAAATGCCATGGACCATGTAGTGTGGAGAGGGCACGTCAGGAAGAAATGAGAATGAAGGAAGAAATGATTACAGAAAGGATGAGAGCTGAGCATCTGAGAAGAAACAGACTTAAACAAAAACATTGACAACTGTCCTGAAATTCCATGTAATAATTGTGGAATACTTTTCTTAATAAAACGGCCTGGTTATTCGTACTCGCCATCACCAAGAGTTGTAAGTCCCATGCCTCCTCACAACACAATATAACAATATTACCTGGAACGATGGATAGGTGCTAATTGGGGGAAGGGGGTTTATTCTTTTTCTCTCAAAATACTGTGTCACCATATTTGACCACAGCCTTCTGTATCTTCTTCTTCTGCCTTTCTAGCCCCCAATGAAGCATAGGCCCTCAACCAACACATGCAAAGTCGTTCTATCCTTTGCTATCGCATGCAGCTCTCCCCATATCCTCCCCATCTTTCTAACTTCATTCTTCAGCTCCCTTCTCCATGTGTTTTTTGACCTTCCTTTATTCCTATGCCCCTGTGCAGAGACATTATAGTTATATTGTTCTACGGTTTTCTCAATGTGTGTCCTATCCAACGCCAACGTCTTTTCTTCACCTCTGGAGCCTGCTTGGTTCTCTCCCAAAGCTCAACATTCATGATTCTATAATACCATTTAATTCCCTCTATTCTGGGCAGGCACCAGTTAATGAATGTCTGTAGTTTATTAGTAATTGCCTTCGTTGTTCTCCATGTTTCCGCCTTCTGTATCTTGCACTATCAATAATTTCTGAAATAGATGTTCTTGCATATCAAAGCAAAACTCCTTGGAAAAAATGGAAGAGGGAGACAAAAGAAATCATATACAAAGCAAGTACTAACATACATCTAATGAACTAGTTCTTTTAGTCTAGATCGTAGCAATGCTCAACTGGGGAAATTTTCACACTGGCTAAAATCTTTCAAATAGACTAAATACAGAGGAAGCCAGATATCCAAGTTCTGACCAAATGTAAAAAATGGTCAGAGAATAAATTACATGATGTCTAGGATTCATGGCCAGAGCATGACTGTCAAGAATAAATACACAGGAAAATTAGCTTTGAGGAAGCCAGATTTCTGCAACATGTTTTGACCAAATATTTTGTTAACAAATATCTAAATACAAATATTCATGGGGAAGAATCCATCATGAGTAGCTTTCCGATCGAAAGAGTACGGAAAATGGCACAGGACAAGCAATTAAGGAATGAAATGGGAAAGCTGAGTTGAGTGAAGTCAAGAACTGACATCATAGCACTCGGGGCATTCCCATGCATGCTCCGTCCTCATCTTCAGCAACCAGCGCAGAGTTCCAATACTGATGGTACCGGTCACAATCTAGTTATATGTCCATCTTGCCTTTCCTCTGAGTGTAGTGAGCCGGCCAGACCTTCTGGTTACATCCAGATGCCTCATTCTCTCCAGGCCATAATAATCGTATTTCTCTACTAATTCCGTTGCTTGTTCCCAAAGGGCCTTGACCACATCTGCCTTGTCATGTATCATTTCACCACCCACTGGTTTGCCTGTTCATTACCCACTACACTGGCATGGTAAAAATTTCTTGACTCGGCTCATGTGCTAAAATGATGTTGAAAAGTTTAATACTTAGAGGATGTTATACTTTTCCAGTTCTTTTTCTTCTTCTTCTTAATGTTCACCAACTGTAAACTAAAGCAGAAAGTTCTAGTTGTTCATCCACTTCTGGACTTCAGACCTGTTACAGAACTTGAGTTATGCATTAACTTCCATTTCAAAGATCTGACTGTATGTAGACTTTTGATTCCCTGCCTCTGGCAAATATATTTCTCGTCTTCAGACAAGCTTCTATGTTTGGTATTTGAGTTAGGAGCTCGAAGAATAGGAAACATAAAAGCTTCTACACCGTTTAGTATCTGAGTCAGAGCTTGGGGGATGAGAAACAAGCTTCTATAATGTTTAACATTTAACATCTTGGGGGATGAGAATCAAGCTTCTTTAATGGTTGGTCTTTGAGCTAACAGTTTGAGGGATAAGAAACAAGCTTCTATAATGTTTGGTTAAGAGCTAACAGCTTGGGGGATAAGAAACAAGCTTCTATAAAGTTTGGTATTTGAGTTAGAAGCATGGGGGAGGAGAAACAAGCTCCCATAATGTTTAGTATTTTAGTTAAGAGCTCAGAGAACAGGAAACAAAAGCTCCTAAAATGTTTGGTATTTGGGTTCAGAAGTGGGGGTGAGGGGGAGCCAGGGATATACTTCTATACAGTTTCCTATTAAATCAACTTAGAGCTTAGGGGAAAAAACATATTTTGTATCAAATGAGTTAAGAGCTTATTAATAAAAGTAAGCGGTGAATTCTATAAGCGGAAACTTACTGCATAACCAGGCCATGAAGAAAACCTCCAGGATAAGGTAGCCATTCTTGTCTACGATGATGCCTGTTGTCAGAGAGATCACAGCCAGGCCAAGGTTCTGAATAGCTTGCATGCTGCAGACAGACAAATATTTGTTCATTTATCTACAGATTATCCTCATTGCACATCAAACTATTCAGTGCTCAGATCCCTTCTTCAGTAAATCTTGCAATGTGTGGTGGCTAACAACACCAGTTTTGTGTTGGTTTCTTATTCTTCTTTAGCATCCTGCATAGTTCTCTTGTCTGGTCACACTACTGTGAACTTGTCCTTGTAGTCTGGTCATCGCTGCAGACACACAGTAACTTGGCTCTCGCTAACGTCTTACTTCTCATACAGCCTAATTTTTTTTCTTTCAGTTGTTTAATTAAGAATCAACATCACAGCACTCAGGACTTTCCCATAAGTGCTCTACCCCCTTCTTCAGCAGAAAGCACAGAGTTCCAATTCTAATGGTAGCAGTAACAGTCTGATTGTATATCCATCTCACTTTTCCCTTCAGTGCTGATCATCAACCAGATCCCCTGGTCACTCCTAACAGCTCCATTTTCTTCAGACTGTAATGTTCTACTTGTGCCTTCAAACTGTTCACTGGCTCCCAATGGGCCCTAACATCTAGCTTTTCACACATCTATTCACCACCAAGTGGTGCAGAACCGGCCAGTCTATCTGCTTGATTGCTTACCAACACACTGGTATTCTAGACTGAATTTCTTCTCTCAGCATGTAGGAGCAGTTGAAGTTTGGTACCAAGTACTTATATGTTTCCGTTAATTTGATTTTCATTTTATCGGCTTGTATGTGGCCAGAGTTTATATCCTTTTCCTGTCTTGTTATTATCATTCATTCTGTCTTATCTTGATTGATAAATAGTCTCATTTTGTGAGCTGCTTCTTTTAAGACAGTCAGGCTTATAAAAGTATGCAATATTAAATTATTGGGAAAAAAAAGAGATAAAAACTAGATAACTAATTATAACCCAAAATGGTAAAACTAGGATATGTTTAGAATAATTACTATTACCATCTGATTAACTGTATGCTATCAGTTTTGTCATCAACAATTACATAATAAGAACATCATGGACAGATACAAAATTAAAAATATAAAAAAGATGTCATGAAATAAATAAAAATAACATAAGCAGACGATCCACAAGACTTGGGTACATAATAAGAAGGGGAAACGAGTATATCATGACACAAGGAAAGCTGGAATGGAAGAGGGGTGAGGGAAGACCAAGAGATAAGATGTTAACCATTTTGGTATTATGATGCTGAATTAAGAATTGACATCACAGCACTTGAGATATTTCCATAAGTGATCTGGTCCCATCTTCAGCAGCAAGCGCAGACTTCAAATTCAGATAGTAGAAGTATCAGGAGGTACATCAGGATCAAGAAACGTTTGGTAGTACATAAGACAAAAGACTGTTGACAGGACAACCAATGACACCTGACATGCACATTTATAGGCATCAACAATCACAAAACAATTACTTCTAAGTCTATGAGAGATCCTCTAACCCAGCATATGACTGGCACTATTAGCTACAGGATGCTGATATATATGTTGAGGAAAGAATCTAAGCACCTTTGGACATTTCTGGAGTGCTAACTTCTTCTTCTTCCTCTTCATATAGCCAAACCATCTGGTCTTGGTAGTCATGTCTATCCACAAACTTCTCATGTATTTGTCATCGATTCAGACAGAGATGATCCTACATTCCATGATCTCAAACTGTCCAACATCTTCACTCTGTCTCCCTCTGCCTCCCCCACACCCCCCCCCCCCCCCAACCTCCAACTTTCCTGCCGTCATGGTGTACTTCAGTTTTCTCCTTCTCATGACATGACCAAAGGATAACCTGACTCAAAACTTTTAAACACAGTAACAATAATACAATACAAACACAATGAACACTAGTTTTGTTGAATGTTGAATTAGGAATCGACATCACAGCACTCGGGACAATCCCATAAGTGCTCAGTTCCCCCCCCCCCCCATCTTCAGCAGCAAGCGAAGAGTTCCAATTCCGATGGTACAAGTCTAATTGTATATCCATCTCATCGTTCCCCTGAGTGTTAAGCGTCAGCCAGATCCCCTGGTAACTCCTTGCAGCGCTCTTCTCCTTAGACCATAATGATCTATCTGAGAATCCACACTGTTCACTCGCTCCCAAAGGGCCCTCACAATATCTAACTTGTCATACATCAATTCATCACCAAGTGGTGGAGAGCCTGCCAGTCTATCTGCCTGCTCATTTCCCAGCACACCGGCATGACCTGGAGAAATATTTCCAAAGGATGCTAACTACCCGGGACCTCTGAAGTTTTGTGGGGTCAAGTACTCACATCCCATAAGCTGTGCCAAGCTGGTATGAAGGAATGATCAGCGAGACCATGGGCCACAGGGCACTGGCCAACACTGAGTATGACAATCCCATGATCACCTAGACATGAAAAAACAATACAATTTTTGATTAACATTGAGAAATTAGTTTACTGAAACATCTGAAATGTTATATAGAACCTGTTCTGCTGTATGGCAGCGAATCTTGGAATGTCACTGAACAAATTAAGAAGAATTTGGAAGCAACAGAGATTTGGTTTCTGGGACAAATGTTACGAATACCTTGGGCGGCCAGAGTAATTAAAAATTGCTTGAAAGAGGCTAAGGAAAGTAGATCTCTATATACAACAATAAGAAAGAGACAAACCCTGTTCTTTAGTCACATAATGAGAAGAGAGACATTGGAGAACATCATGACAACTGGAAAGATCAGTGGAAAGAGGGGTAGAGGCAGACCAAGAGAGATGATGCTGGATGGGCTGAAACGATGGCATGGATGGAAATCATCAAGAGAGCTGTTCCAGGCAACCATGGATCGTGATCTGTGGAGACGCATAAGCTCCTACGTCAGTTGGCAGGGCACATGATGATGATGAAATATCTTAAAAATTAAAATATATAACAAAGTTGTAAAACTGAACAAAATGTTACAGTGCCTGCTTATCAAAATAGCAAAGTCAGAAAAAATATTTGTTTTCTTTCTTTTTACTAACCACGATGTGTGGCACAGGTAATCCTCTTCCTTTTTTTCGGGTTCTCCGACTGTTAACTCCAGCAGTAAGTTCTGGTTGTTCGTCCACGTCTCAACTTTAGTCTTGTTCCAGCACTTGAGTTTTGCTTGCATATCCATTTTAAAGGTCTGGCTTATTTGTATGCACAGTTGGTTCCTTACCTGTCCGACAGATGCACTCTGCCTTTGAAGTAAAGTAATCAACCTAACTGGTAGACCTTTACACGCTTATGGGAGGAAGGGAGGGGGGAGTGGTGCTATTCTCTTACACCCTTCCACCAAATGGGGCTACGGAACCACACAGGGAATCTGTAATCATGGCCCACGGGTTGCCAGTTGAACAGTCCTGGTGTCGATGAGTGTGGTGTGTAAATCCTATAAACATGGCTTGATTCCAGCTGTGGGTGATTTGGCAGCAGAATACTTTGCACTAATGTTGACAATAGCATCAAGAACCGACCATTTAAGAAGCAATGGCAAACTATGATGTAAAACTGCCTAGTAAAATCACAAACAGCCAAAAAAATACCGGGGTTGGTTCTGCAAGCAACATCCAGTTGTCATTTATTCTTCTTCTCCTTAGCATTCACTGGCTGTAAACTCCAGCAGAAAGTTCTGGTTTTCATTTTGTGCATTTCAGGACTTTAGTCTTGTACAAGAATGTGAGTTTTGCATGGACATCCATTTTGCTGATCTGGCTTATTTCTATCCTGTAAAGGATGCACAGCTAACAAAATGCCATGGACCATGTAGTGTGGAGGGGGGCACATCAGAAAGGGAATAAGAATGAAGGAAGAAATGATTGCAGAAAGGATGACAGCTGAGCACCTGAGAAGAAACAGACTAAACACAAATGTTGACAACTGTCCTGAAATTCCAGGTGGTAACTGTGAAAGACTTTTCTTAATGCAGGTGGGCCTTGCTAGTCACACTCGCAGTTTATGAGTTATTCTTCTGGGTTCACCCATAAAATGGCAGCCGGCACATTGTGCTGTGGTTTACAGCAAAGCTGCAGTATCTGTGCCCTTCGAGCCAACACATTCGATTTCAGCTAAATTTTTTTTTTATGTCACGCTTGTTGGGAAGAGAGGGGTCTATCTTCTATCCTTCCCCCCCCCCCCCTCCCTAAATGGGACCCCAGAACCTACACATGAAAATTTATGAGTTAATAAAGAATTTATTAACAGATGAGAATTGCAACAGTAATTTACCATAGGGATATAGGGGTTGATGAAAGAGAATGCCAAAGACATGTGACAGCCTAGAGTCACGATGACACCCAGAAGCACCCAGAAGACATTCTTGCCGGTCTTGTCAATGAGAAAACCAAACACGGGTGAAGCCACTGCTGAGATGATGTAGACAAGGCTGTTTACGGCACTGGCGCTGCTGGGGCTGAGGTCAAACTTCATCTCAAAGAAGACCCTGGCAATATAAAGGCACTTGTGTTACTGTTAGTGCATTTAAACAAAAACAAAAAATGGCTAATTACTGCCTTTATTATACCACTTTTGTGAACTAGGCAGGGGGAGTCTTTGAGCCTGAGGATTTAGGGCTGAACGGCTAATGGTGTGGCCACAGACTGTGCAGGTCAGGCTTTTATTTTTTGCCCCCGACAGAAACAAATCCACAACCTTAACAAGGATTTTAACCCAGGTCTTCCGCATCATAGCCTAGCATTCCAACCATTTGGCCAGTTTCTCCTCTAATGCTGATGTATTCTTCTTCTTCTTCAGCATTCCGAGCCCCTGAGGTTCATTGCTGCAGATATTACCCGCCTCCATTATCTCTCTGGTTGACCCTCTCTTTCCAGTTGGTAACACCAAGTGTTTATAGGTCTGTGTGGACATTATCTCTCCATCGTCTTCTTGGTCTGCCTCGTGGTCTACGACCATCCAACTCCCTGGTGTATACAGTTTTTACTGCTCTGTCATCTGACATTATTGCTGATGTATTAAATTACTTAAATACAAAGTTTCCTTGAAAATAATTAAAGAAAAGGTCCCTTTACATGCCAGTGGCACATCGGACACGTGAGGCTGGACTCATATTTGTTTAGACCACCTGGCCCTCGATAGGTGATGTGGTCAGCATGACGCCAGCCGCTTTTGCTTCGAAAATAAGACCTAACCCCAAAATAAGCTCCAGCATATATTTCCAGGGCGCTGTAAGCCCTAATGAGGATTGTCAGCAAGAAGGACTGGCCATCTGTCTGTTGAAACACATTCTTTCTTTCATTGTTCACCAGCTGTAAGCTCCGGGGAGTTCAAACACATGACAGACAAAATGAATTATAATGGATGGATAATTAAACATAAATAAATAATAAAATTCACATTAGTGGCTTAAAATAATGAGAGATTTTTGAATAAATCTATAGTTTTTGTACTTTAGTAGGTGTAGATGTGTGTGTGTGTATGCGCGCGGACGCACGCACGTACATGTGTGTGTGTAAAGATATCCCCTGGGGAAAAAAGCTCCATAGTGTCTTTCATAGCAAAAAAATTAATTTAAGACTGGTTTTACTTTTTTTTTTTTAGAAGCATGATAACTTCTTTTCTCTCACCATCTGTAAGCTCTACCATTCTCAGGCTGAATGAAAGCCGGGATCTGTCCTGTGAGAATGTACTATGGTATATTAGATAACGGCGCCTGCTGTTTTCATATCTTCATATCAGCTCACATTTCCTCCACCTTCCCAGGTAGTATTTTTTTCTGGCATTTGCAGCTGTTAAAATCTGGCAATGTATCAAGTTCTACTTCTGGACTTGAGGATTGTTCCAGAATGTAAATTTTGCATGCACATCCATTTTTATAGATCTGGCTTATATGCAAACTGTTGGGTCCTCACTTTTCAGGTAGATGCACTCCAACATAAAAAAAAAAAAACCTATTTAGTTGTCTTTTACAACAAGCTTGTATGAGATTAGGATGGGGAGCATTGGGAAATTCCCCCCCCCCCCCCACCCCCTGGAGAGAAAAAAAAACAGGGCCACGGAACCTGTACAGGAAACACAGTACCAACTGTAAAATCAATATTTAGTCCATAATCCACAAAATGTCAATTAGTTTATCAAAATATTTTAGAAAAGTGACAGAGTTTGCAATCAGGCAATACATTGAAATTTTGAAACCCAGGTCTTACAAACCCAAGTGGATCAGTCACAGTTACGATGGTTTGGACATGTATGCAGAATGGAAGAAAAATTGGCCACCATGGCAGGCATGGGAGGTTAAGAACCAGGGAACCAGACCTCCAGGATGACCCAGGGTCAGCTGGGAAGACAACATCCAACAGTCCCTGGCTGACAAAGGACTGGAATAGAACAAAGCCAGACAGAAGGTTGCTGACAGAGAAGTCTGTAGATCTCTGGTGCAACTCTACACCCCAAAGTAGAAGAGGAGCCACTAAGTAAGTAAGTAATATTTTAGAAAACTTCAGCTGCAAAAGCCAAGCATTCATAAAGTCTACAACTGCAGGGCATGAGTTAGTTGAGGGCCCACATTCCCTTGAGAAATAAAAGATGGTGGCCGGGGGGGGGGGGGGGGGGGGGGGCGGCAGAGAGAGAGAGAGAGAGAGGGAGGGGGGTTGTGCAGGCGAACAGGGTTTCTGAGATTTCTTCCTGTGGGATTCTTATCTCAATAGTGTCTTCTGGGTCACTGGGTGTCTTTTAGTGAGCAAGATGAACATTTTTTGTTCTTATAAAGAGGAGGGGGGGAGAGAGAGAAAAGAGATCAGCATAAGCCACACATACAATACAATACCTACAGGACAAGTTCAATAAAGAGGAAAATTTTTAAGACAGAGATAGACAGACAGAGATTAACATAAACTGCAGATACAATAATATACTTACAGCCCAAGTGCAATGAAGGGAAAAACAGCAACATAGTAAGCCACACAGATAATGCATATAAGCCACATGGTGAAGGGGAAGGTTAAGATGTCTCGGAACTTTATCATCTCCTCTGAAAGTGATAAAATATTCACTTTTAAAACAGCACATTATCCTAGCCATATAAATATTCTTCTTCTTTGCGTTCACCAGCTGTAAACTCTGGCGGAAAGTTCTGGTTGTTCATCCACTTTTAGACTGCAGTTCTGTTCCAGAACCTGAGTGTTGCGTGTGCACTGTTTTACCGATCTGACTCATTTGTATGCAGACTGCTGGTTCCTTGCCTCTCAGGCAGATGCACTCTGACTTGGAAGGAAGCTCCCAATTAGTCGACTCTTACGACAAGCTTTTTGGGAGGCAGTGAGTCTATTCTTGTTTTCCCTACAACAAGGCCCCAGAACCAACATGGAGAGCCATATAAATGCATCATTGCTTGTGTCTTTCTAATAAATTGTTGATACTGGCACTAAAGAATATCAACCTTCTTACATGAAAGAAACGACCAACTGGATTTAAATCACAAACTGGACACGACAGACTCTGCAGCCATGTGCAGAAGAAATTCAAGATTGGGGACTTAAAATATGTTCCTGTCGATGGGCAGACTAGAATAGCAAACATGCTGCATGCAGAAATTAACAGAGGGGGAAACCTTTAAGGCCACTAAATATTATGAATTAATCAAGTAACATAAAGTGTACTGATCGGCACTCATAGAAAGAAGTAGGAAGCATGCAGCAGAGAGAGAGAGCTCAAGTCAGGCCAGCTGGCATTCCAGTGGAAACCAAGCTGTATGGATCAGAGAAGGGCATGGCTTGCATCACAGCCTTCATAAAGGCCTACGACCTTCTCTTCCGAAAACCACTGACAGGGAAACAAACACAAAACTCAAAACTCCAAAAACAACAACAAAACAAGACACTCGTCATCAGGTGCTATGCCAGCAAATGCAGGCAGTCATGCTTAACATCTGAAACAATTAGTTGTCTCTGAACATGTCTGTGTTTTTTTGTCTCACCTTGTCATACTGTAAAGCAATGCAGGTGTTTATCTCTTTATCTATGTCATGTTATTTCTTTTTTCTTTTCACTAGGTCTGCCAGTTGTTATTTATTTTTCTTCTCCTTAGCATTCACCGGCTGTAAACTCCAGTAGAAAGTTCTGGTTTATGCACTTCAGGACTTTAGTCTTGGACAAGAATGTGAGTTTTGCATGCACATCAATTTTACAGATCTGGCTTATTTCTATGCAGACTACTGGTCCCTCTCCTCTCAGAAGAAAACACGCCGATTTAGTCAACGTTTATGACATGCTTGTTAAAGCTGCAGTGGGCCTATTCTTTTATCTTAGAACCCATACTGGGTGTACACATTCTAAAGCAGTGGTTCTCAACCTTCCTAATGCCTCGACCCTTTAATACAGTTCCTCATTCTGTGGTGACCCCAAACCATAAAATTATTTTCGTTGCTACTTCATAACTTCAATGAATATGTGTTTTCCTATGGTCTTAGGTGACCCCTGTGAAATGGCTGTTCGACCCACAAAGGGGTCATGACCATCAGGTTGAGAACCGGTGTTCTATAGAGTATTTTTAACTCTTTCCCAAAGTGCAAATTAGCAGAGCAGCAGGTCAGAGAGTCACACAAAACACAAATTCTGCAACTCTAGCAACAAGACCATGGAACTTCAAAACACCTACTCACAAATTGAACAACAAAACTTAAAACTGAACCAACAACCTTCAGAGTGCAAGGTAATTAACTATTTCGCATAGTCAAATATGCATAATGCAGAGGCATCTCAAAATTAAAGTGGGAAGCAATAAAAGTTTATCAACCTACCTTGGCTGATTTGTTTTCTCCTTAAAACACGGTCAGCCCTCTTGTCAAAAAATGCCAGCGCAAATGAGCACAGAAGAGAGAATATACACATGGCTCCACCTAGATCAAACACACACACAAAAAGCCCAATTAGACTGACCCTTCAACTCTCTGTTCCTTCCACTCTCTCTGCCTCTGACCCCCCACCTCTTTCACTCTATCTGTTCCCATTATCTTTCTACATCACCTATCTCTCTCTGCAACTCAACTTTCCTCCCAAACTCTCATCGCCCCTTTTCTTCTTTTCTCTTTTGCCTCCTCTCCTTGTCCCCTCCTATGCATTTTCTCTCTCCATTTCAGTACTCCACATCAACATCACTATCACAAATCTCATAATAGTGTGACTCTATAAGCCCATCAGAAGCACTCTGAAGAAACAGCCCTAATCAGATGACTTTTACGACATGATTGTTAGGCTTGCAGTGGGTCTATTCGTTTTTGTTTTCAATCCAAAATGATGACCTGGAAACCACAAAGGAAACAAGATGTTCCAGTTTCTTTCTTTTCACAACATGGCCAGAAAATGATCTTCTTCATGTTCATTGGCTGTTTACTCTAGCGGAAAGTTCTGGTTGTTAATGCACCTATTGACTTGAGACTTGTTCCAGAACTTGAGTGTTGAATGCACATGCGTTTTAAAGATCTGACTTATTTGTATGCAGACTGCTGGTTCCTTGCCTCTTAGGCAGATGCATTTCGACTTCAAAGATAACTCCCAATTAGTCAACCATTATGACATGCTTTTTGGATAGGCGGTGGGTCTATTCTTGTGTTTCCCATAAAAGGACCTCGGAACCCACAGGGGGACCAACAAATTAGGATTGCCTCTTTTTTAATATTTTTAATAAGCTGCCTCCAGACATCTATTTCAAAACATCTGGGTTGCTCATTCTGGATGTCGAAGAAATTTTTTGCATTTCTTCTGTAAAGCCATATCTCTGACACATAAAGAAATTGTTTGGCTAGACTAACCTACAAGCAAGGCATATCCAAGACGCTTGTAGCCTGGCAAAGACTTATTCATGAAGTCGTAGAGGGGCTGCATCACATTCATGTTGACTGTGCTGCCCTAGACAACAGAAGACAAATCAAATGTTCTCATCAATATCTCGATATTAATCCTAACATTTTAACAGTTTACATTTTCTTGTTCTACAACATTTCAGTTTCTCACCTCACTCCATACAAAGGCAAATTATGATATGTTAAACAAAGTTTTGGTGCCCTCACTATTCTAGAAAACCTCACAATCAATCAATTCAACTCTACAAACATTCACCATTCTAGACATATTCACAATTAATCAATCCAACTCTTTAAATATTTATACTGTGGAAAAACTCGCAAATAATTCAATTTTACAAACACTCACCACTCTTGAAAAGCTCAGCTGCAATCCAAACACCATATTGAGCTCTTTTCCTTGGAACCATTTCACAGCAAATGTGTTCTGTGCCACGGCCAATGACTCCCCACCAATTCTGAGATGATGATAAATGCAAGTTCATATTACATTTGTGCTTGAGTGTGACTGTTTGGTTTGATTATTACAGGGTAACCTTTGCTACACACTGAAATCCTCTTCTGTGATGCACTTTCTTTCCAAAAAGAGAATCTCAACACTGTGCTCAAACTACAGCACAAAGGAGGATTCTTCTTCTTCTTATTCTTGACATCAGCCATGATAAACATTTAGTCCTGTCTGGGTCAAGAATAGGGTTGTGCATTTAATGTCAACCCCGGTCCCCCATAGTTTCTCTTGTAGTGTAGCTCCCTTGGGCCAGATCCACAATCTTTGCTGTGAGTAGTTAGGGCAGTCATGCAGAATGTGCTCAGGAATCTGTCTTTCTGCTCCACAATCATAGGCAGCAGATTCTTTTATGCCTATCCTCTGCAGATGTGCTCTAAGACCACAGTATCCTGTCCAAAGCCTCAAACTTCATGTTTTTTCTGTCCTAATTAGTTTGTCACTCTCTGGACTGTAATCTCTATTCTCCCTTCCTCCTTGAAAGACTGCTTTAGGGCTGTTTTGGTTTCCTTGTATCTTTGTAGTGGATGAGGTTGTGGAAGATTACTCCCAGCTTTTGCCAGCTCATTTCCTTAAGTACCACAGTGGGCTGGCATCCACTGAAGGACCAGTTTTGCTCCTTTGGAGAGCAAGTCTATTTTGGTCCTCAGATCTGCAATTTGTCTGTCTTGTTTTTTGCTTGACAGTGCTTGAAGAACATACAGTGAGTCACCAAGTATAACAATTTGGTGCCTTCTCTGTTCTTGAGTGATAAGGTGCTGGACTGCTGAAAGGAGGGCAGTTGCTTCAGCTCTGTAGTAAGTGCAGATGTCACCTGCTGGTAGAGAGAGTTTTTCAGCTCTGCTGCTAGGTGGTTTAATGTATATTTCACAGCCTTCCTTTCTGACTGCACCTGTAGCTGAGAGATCAGTGAAAACCTGAGTCCAAGTGGTGTTGGGATACATCTCTTTAAGCATAGCAAGAGCCTGGCTTTTGTTATGTCTCCGTCAGGGCATCTTTTAAACTGATCGCTAGTACTTTTAGGACTACATTTGCCTTCTCTGGCATGCTTGTCCATGGTTCTGGCCTAAGCTTTTCACACAATGTAACATCTCTTTCAAGCAGATCTTGGTGCTGTCTGTACAGTTTTATAGCAAGGTGGTTAGGGCTCTGACACTTAAGTCTGTTTTTTTGTTCTCTTTTCAAATTTAAAAGGCAGTGGGTTACTTTGTAATTTTTTTCATTTCTCATACTGTAGAAGAGTTTTGCATTGTCTTCTAAGTTCAAGTGGTTCAGTATCTGCTATCCTCACTATCTCTTTGATGGGGGTGGTTTTAATGGCACATAGAACAATCTTCAATCCCATATTCTGAACCTTGTCCAGTTTTCAGATTGTTGTCTTGGATGCTGCAGCCCATGCAGTGGAGGCGTATTCCATGACTGGCCTGACTGCTCCAGTATACACGTGTTTCTGGATTCTGGAGTTGTCACCCCATGTAGTAACCGTTGAATTTTTCATCACTGCAAGTTTCTATAATGCTTTCTCCTGTACTGCTTCTATGTGTGACTTCCACATTTTCTGAGTCAAGTGTAACGCCAAGAAAGGTAGGACACTACATGGGGTGACAACTCCAGAATCCAGAAACAAGTGTATACTGGAGTAGTCAGGCCAGTCATGTCAACAATCTATTAAAATTACCCCGCTTTATATGCCATCAGATTTAGGAATCGTGTTCATTGTGTTATCTCGTTCCTCATAAAAATATCCTTTTGCAGCCTTGTTTCTTTTTCTTCTTCATGATCACAGGCGATAATATAAACTCACTAGAAAAGTTCTGGTTGTCCATTTCTGGACTTTAGTCTTGTTCCAGAACTTGAGTTCTGCGTGCACATCTGTTTTACAGATCTAGCTTATTTGTAAGCAGACTTGGTTCCTTGCCTCTCAGGCAGACAGACAGCACCCCTAATTAGTTGATTTTAAAGATATGCTTGTTGTGGGGGGGGGGGGCATGGGGGGCAGGGGATCTATTCTTTTTCCTCAAAATGGGGCAATGCAAGCAACATGGGGCTCATCCTTGTTTGATGTTAGTGTGTGTGCATATGCAGTAAGAAAGATTATAAAAATAACCACAAGAATAGATAATTTACAATCGAAGAGATAATACTGAATCATTTCCCTTAGTCCTACTCTCAGCTGATCCAAACAGGACACTCTTCACTGCAAATACCGCTCCTTGCTATCAAATTTTTCCCTGGTCTCTGACCTTCCAAAAAAAGGTATAGTATCAGAGAAAATAAATATACTATAACTATTCAACAACCATGCATGCTTTAAATATGGTGGGGGGGGGGGGGGTGTATCATGTGAAAGACAGTTTTACTTGTCTACTTTTATGCATTGAGATTCTTCTTCTCTTCGTTCATCCGAGTGAAGTAATTGCGCTATGCCTTTTTACAGCAAAGTTGCAACATCTGTGCCTTTCGAATGACACATTAGACTTCATCAAGTATTTGTTGACCGGGTTAACTTCCCAGAAAGTTTTGTGGGACACAACAGTGAGTTATTTGTGTGGTGTTCTCTTTATCCCTTAATCTACAGGTTTGAAGAAACCTCCAGGTCCGGGACTTCAATTACCACACATATAGGCTTATTCTTTTTCAGCACAATTAAAATTAGTTGTGTGTCCTTTTCAGGGCGTTGCAGATCCAAACCCAGCTATCTTTTCTGGCTGTTGTGGTTTTTCTGGGCAAATTTTACATTCAGTAGTTTTTCGTTCTGAACGGTCAGATCTCGGTACCACTGTCGAAACCAATGCAAGATAAATTCTCTGCAGCTGGGATCGAACCAGGCACCCCGGCATTATGAAGCATATTCGCAATGCCTAAGCCACAGACGCCAACAGCACAATAGACACCTTTATTTGTCTGAGTACTGAGCGTCTGCCAGATCCCCTCTTAGCTCCACACAGAACCATTTTTCTCACGACCATAATGATCTTATGCCTCCTCACTGTTCACTCACTCCAAAATGACCCTCACAACATCGAGATTGTCATATATCAATTCACCACCAAGTGGCACAGAACCGGCCAGTCTTTCTGCCTGCTTGTTTCCCAACACATCAGCATGACCTGGAGAAAATATCAAAGGAAGCTTACTACCCGGAACCACTTCAGCGATGCTTGCCACTCTGCACGAAGTATGCCTGTCTCTACCTTTCTCAACATACTCTGTGATTCAGTTAAAATTACAATATTTGTGTACAGCTGATTCCCAATCCAACAGAAGGCGGCAGTGACTTCCTCCACCTCCATTCTCAAACTAGAATCTGTGATATTATATGCCAGACTTTTTTACACTAAGCGACACAGTTGTTTCCTATGAAATACATGGTATATTATTTACAGTGTTTTCAATTCTTTGCTTACCTTATGAGCTCTGTTAACAAACATGCAAATTTCAGAACTTACCCAAAGACAAATCTGCCAGCACACATCAGTGCATAGATATTGAATAAAGAGCCCACAGCAAAGATGAACTGAAATGAGTTGACAAAATTTATGTGTAAATTTAAATAACAGAGCACTAAACACATAAAATATACAGTGAACATCTTAGAAAATACTTCTTCATCCTTTGAGTTATGTAATTGTATAGTGCCTGCTTACAGCATAGCTGCGATATTTGCGCCTTTTGGCCAACACATCTTACTTCTTTTGGCATCTGTTCTCCAGGTTGGCCTTCCCAGTTTGTTTCACTGGATACTGTAGGACATTTTACAGCCTTATTTGTGTGATGATTTTATCATCCCCTGATCCACAGGTTTTGCCCCTAGAAGACTAGTCCAGGGAAGGGTCCATAAATCCAGAGCTGATACATGACGCTCTGGGACCGGGCTCACTCATGCAATTTTCAGCTCCTGCACATCAGCATACTGAGCTTCCCCTCTCAATACACTGAGTGTCAGTTCAATCCCCTGGTGATTGTATGGAGCACCAATTTCTTCAGACTGTGATGATTTATTTGTGCTTCTACACAGCTCACTTGCTTCCAGAGGACCTCTGTCACATCCAGCTTGTCAAACATCAATTTTGCACCAAGTGATGTAACACCAGCCAATCTGTCTGTCATGTTCCTTTCCAAAAACCCCTGAATGCCCTAGAAAAAATATCCAAGGGGCACTAACTACCCGGGATTTCCGAAGTGATGCCACTCTGCATGCAGAATAGCTGTCTTACCTTTCTCAGCACCTCTGTGACTCTGTTATAATCACATCATGTGCCTACAGCTGGTTTTAGAGCCAGCGGAAGGCTGCAGTGACTGGCTCATCTTTCATCCCCAAACTAGATGTTGTGGTAGCATATGCCAGGCTTTGTTGCACTGAGCGATAACAAATCGACTTTGCTAGGTCATCTAGTCCAAGAATCTAATTTTTTTTTTATGTGTAGTTTATCCGGTTTCGTCCTTTTTAGCACGAAATTTTTTGTTATTTGAAGCCCCACCCTGGCTTTTGCCAGGGGCCCAAATATAGGCAGGCCATAAATATGGCCAATTGTCTGAATGCAGTTTCTGGGACCTCTCCACATCGATCCTCGTCCACATGGTGGCACTTTGTGTCATCAGGTGTTTATCGCTTGTGTGATGTCCTAGTGGGGTAGAAAGTCAGTCAGTCATCTAATTTAAAACACACATCACAGATTTTAATGCAAGCAATTGCGATCTACTTACTTGACCAGCTGTCACAAATAGACCAAAAATGATTGCTCCAAGCCTGATGCCAAAAAATCTGTCAATTAGGTAGCCTCCAAACATGCAGAGAACCACATTTGGCCAGGAGTAGAAAGAATAAAAAGCCATGAACTGGCCTTCATTTATATTTAGAGATTTGATCATCACATCTTGCAAAGCAGCAGGGTTGTCATAACAGAAGTAGCTGCCTGAAATGTAGCACAAAGTCACATGTATGTGGTGTTTTCATACAAGAAATAAGCATGCTATTTTCATATTAGTCCAAAAATAATAAAAATATAGCAGATCATTTTAAACATTTCCCAAAAGGTTTTGAAGAATGGATCGACATCATGGCACATGGGTAGTAACCCATAAGTGCTCCGTTCTTCTTCTAACTCAAGTGTGAGTCCGAAGAAGCTCAGCACAGTGCACAGGCTTTGTAGCACCCGTGAGGATCCTGAAATACTTTGGGTAGATTTTTAACTCCAAATTTAAACCCAGGCAGCGCCTTTAGGCTACTCTCTTCGATTTCCAACTGCCAAGGGATTTTTTACGTGCGCGACAATGCACACGGGCGTTCGATCTCACTACCCATAGACAAGGGGGAATTACTAAAAGTAATTAGGCAAAACTAGGATCGGCTCCGAATAATCTTCTTCTTCTTCTTCGCGTTCACCAGCTGTACACTCTGGCGGAAAGTTCTGGTTGTTCGTCCATACCTGGACTGCAGTCCTGCTCCAGAACCTGGGTGTTGCGTGTGCATCAGTTTTCCAGATCTGATTCACTTGAATGCAGACTGTTGGTTCCTTGCCTCTCAGGCAGATGCACTCCGACTTCAAAGGAAGCTACCAATAAGTCAATTGTCAACGGTCGCTATTATCATCTGGTACTATCGTCTGCAGTGTTGCGTCTCTTGAATTGTCAAGTAATCCTAGTTTTGCAGCGATTTGTTCCTTTGCAGAAAGTCCGCATTTTATACACGACTGAGGCCCTGTTAGGTTATTTGCTTGGCCGCCATAATATCGGGTAGAAGTTCGGAGGAGAGCCACAATATCTATTGTTTGGTAATTAATTATATATATTAAAAATAGATGGATGCGTCTGAACGCGCTTCAGAGTGCCGAGGTTCGATCCCAGATGCGGACAATTTGTCTTGTGTTGGTTTCGACAGTGGTACCAAGACCTGACCATTAAGTAAGCAATGGCAAACTACTAAACGTAAAATTTGTCTATAAAAAACACACAACAGCCACAAAATGCTGGGATTGGTTCTGCAACGTCCTGTAAAGGATATGCAACTAACTTTTTTTTTATTGTTTGGTAACGTAACTATCTTCATTAAAGTTGAACTATCTTATAATATTATGTAAGAATTTTTGAAGATGGGGATAAACCGTCAAGCAGGCAAACAGTCTAGTGAGTCTTCGAGAAGTCTATTAGACTATTTTGATGTCATTGATTGCAAGATTTACTTATATTACCAACCAGCACTTATGAATTCATTAATATGTTAAATATTAACATCTATTAAATTAAATAGTGAATATGTTAAATACTAAGGAGAAAACTTACCGAAGCTGAGAAAACATATCAGGATCAGTACTGGGAAATAGCGATGAACACAAGACCTGGGGTTGCATGGCGGGGTCCCACTACATCCCTGCAACTCCTCCAGATCCCCATCATCGTCATAGCTATGTTGAATTATCGGGGTAGTTTCATTTGGTTCATCAGCGTGTCTTCCTTCTTCGGTCATTGTTGCAGTTTCTTATATTGATTTATCGAGATAAAACAAAAATTTAAAGCTATGCAGACTCAAATGTTTCCATCTACTTCCCTCAACTTCTGCTTCTGGTTGGCAATGCTCAGGTGACTGGTCACGAGACAGCTATTTTTAGACACCATAACTAGTGTGAGAGAGTCCCCGTAACGGAGCGGCGAGACGCTCGCCTGCGGATCGGAAGGTCGTGGGTTCGCTCCCTAGTTCGCTCCCCTAGTTCGCTCGCCTTTGAGTGGGTACCGGGTGCAGTCCCAGGAAGTAAAGGCGGCCGGCGTTATGCTGACCCACGGCCATCTTTAGCTATAATAGAGTTGGCGGTGGCTGACCACATCACTCATCCTCTGGCGATTGGTCTATGAAAATGTAGGTCTAGCCCTATACGCATAACGACGTGGAAAAGGGACCTTTACTTACAACTGGTGTAAACAATTGACAAAATCTCAGTTAGTTCTTCTTCTTCTTCTCTTCCACCTTGTACCTCATCGAAGTGTCGGGGGGAGATGTAATGTTCGTTGATTATTTTTAAGACTGATGTTCATTTCTGTAAGGCTGTTCTTAATGCCATCACTCTATATTTTCCGAGGTCTTCCGCTCGCTCTATACTCTATACCCGTTGTAACGTTCTAGTGTGGCTCGCTGTGGCAGATAGTACCAGGGCATTCTTGTTAGGTGTCCAAACCACTTCATTTGTTGTTCTTTGATGACCTGTAATACTGCCTTTATTCCTACCATTCGTCTGACTTCATGATTTCGTATTCTGTCTTTCCTTGAAACTACAGCAGCTCTTCTAAGGCATTTCATCTCTGTTATCACAATTTTACGTTCATTGGATGATGTAAGTGTCCACGTTTGGCACTGATAGCATAGTGTTGGCCAAAAAATAGTTCTGATAAGATTCAGTTTAGTACTCCGAGGTATCTGCTTGTGTGTCAACAGGGGAGATAGTTGACCCATTACTTGATTAACTTTTGTACATCTTGAGCTAATTTCTCTGTCAAATTTTCCGTCGGATGTAAAAATTGCACCCAAATACTTAAATTCCTCTGTTTGTCTCAGGGTGTTGTTTTTTAAATTTAATTTCTAATTTGTCTTTATGTCTTCCTATCATCATTGTCTCTGTCTTCGTAGTGTTTATTTTCATATTATATTCCTCCCCTTTGTTACTAATTTGATTTGGGTGGTTCTGTAGGCATTCCGTATTTTCTGCTATGAGTACCTGGTCGTCGGCGAAAAGTAATTCTGTAATATCTTCTTCATGATTAAAGTTCGTTTCGCTACATATGGTATCCATGTATGTTATAAAAAGAAGCGGCGATAATACACAGCCCTGACGCACACCAGAGTTCACTATAAAAGTTCTCAGTTAGTAATTACACGAATCATATAAATGGCTGGGGGAAAAAAAGTATTACACTATGTACACAATATCAAAAAATAGTCTAACAATTCAAGGAACACTTCATATCCCATATATAACCCATAGTGTTGAACAGCATATGTTTGTGAAAATTACTACTACAACATTTATTTGCTTACGATGATAAACCCCGAAAACCAATGATAAAAGAAAATTGAAATAGAATTGACACAATGAGGGTCAGTAATACTAAATAAAACCATAAAAGAGGGCAATGTAATGAAAAGTAGTTATACCAGAAAGCTTTTCTGATGTAAAAAGTGTTTCCTAAAAGGAAACCTTGTGGGAGAGCGTGTACAGTTCGGAGGAGCAGATGGATCACCACACTCTGGTGAGATTGATGCACTAGAGGTGGCAGATGCTCGAGGCTCAGAGGAAAGGCAAGACAGGCGTTTAATCAGAATGCTACTGGCACCATTAGTATCGCAACTCTTCACTGGCTGCTGAAGATGGGGACTGGGCGCTTATGGAAATGCCCCGAGTGCTGTGAAGTCGGTTCTTGAATCAAATAAATTCAATTCAAATCCTAAAAGAAATCAGTAAAAATAGATGGAGGGTGAATAGTAGTTTGGCCGTGTTTCGCGACTGACACCAGCCATTGATCAGCAGCATCATAAAAAAAAACATTTATAACACAGGGCTGAACCTAATATTATTTATATGAATCCCTGTGTGAATGTCGGGGCCGTATTGTGTGGACTCATGAGCACATAAAATAAACTAAGCTGCAGGAGATGCGGTAGCTGCTGCTCGGGAATCCCAGCCATCTAGTTTAGCCCCAATCAACGCCGCGTGACCGGCGTGTGGGGTACTCTCTGCGGTGGCGGAAGTCGCCGGAAGCGCGCAATTTAAGACGACGGAAGTGCGCAATCTACACGTGACTGAGGCCCTGTTAGGGTGTATTTTCCACCTCGATAATTTAGGACCGTCATTCGGAGGATAGCCAAAAAGCCAGTAAAATAGTTGTACATTAAAAATGTAGGCCTGTTACAAAGCCAGAATCCAAATGGACAAACAACCTAGACTTTCTGTCGCAGCTTACAGCAGGTGAACAAAGAAGAAGAAGAAATGTATGTGAAGATTAATACTACTACATTGTTCCCCAGAAAACAATCATCTTCATATAGTATGATGTTGGCAGAACGTCACTTACATCAATGAATGGCGAAAATACTCTTCCGATTTGCCCTGCCTCGTGAATTGCCTGGCAGCTGTGACTCCGCTATTGTAGTAAGATTATCTAATGCTCATTGTGCAGTTTATGTCGCTATCATAATCCTAAAGGCGTGAACAGGACAACATTTCAAATTAACCATGAGGGTTGTATATGATATTTTCCTGTGTGGAAATTACAACTACTACTACTACTACTACTACTACTACTACTACTACTACTACTACTACTACTACTACTACTACTACTACTACTACTACTACTACTACTACTACTACTACTACTACTACTACTACTACTACTACTGCTGCTGCTGCTGCTGCTACTACTACTACTACTACCACGTCTACTACCACAACTACTACCACACCTACTACTACTACTACTACTACTACTACTACTACTACTACTACTACTACTACTACTACTACTACTACTACTACTACTACTACTACTACTACTACTACTACTACTACTACTACTACTACTACTACTACAACTACTACTACTACTACTGCTGCTGCTGCTGCTACTACTACTACTACTACTACTACTACTACTACTACTACCACTACTACTACCACTACTACTACCACTACTACTACTACTACTACTACTACTACTACTACTACTACTACTACTACTACTACTACTGCTGCTACTACTTACACTACTAGTGCCACTACTACTATCTCAAAAATGCTCCAGTTGCTTCTGCAACAAACTGTAAAGGATACGTAACTAGCTTTTTATGTTCTGTTACTATCTTCTTTTTTTCCCTTTGCGTTCGGTTTCGTATGCTTAGATTAGACAATTAGGTGGGTTGCGTCTATAAACTCGTATATCAGCAGTGTCCTGTTCGTAGACGGAAAAACTGTGGTATGTTGCTTCCTGTTGAGTCTGTTGATGGGGTCTTGTTTGTTTTTTCCACAATTTCTTGTATTTTCCCTTGATGGGTGTTTTTATTTCTGGTAATGACAATATATGGGTGTGTTGTTTCTCCTTTGTTCCATTTTTTGCTAGTCTGCTAACTCATTTCCTGGTAAGCCGCAGTGAGCCGAGATCCACTGGAAAACGATTTGATTGTTTTCTGAGTCTGTTTAGCTGGCAGGTCAATTCTCTCTCCATGTTGTCTCGTGGATCCGTCTGAGTTGCCTGAATGTTGCATGTTGAATTAAGAATCGACATCACAGCACTCAATACACTCTCATAAGTGTTCAGACCCTATCTTCAACAGCAAGCAAAAAGTTCCAATTCCGATGGTACCAGTAACCGTCTGATTGTATATCCGTCTCATCCTCCCCCCCCCCACCCCCTGAGTGTTGAGCGTCGGCCAGATCCTCACAGCGCCATTCTTCTCAGACCGTAATGGTCTATCTGCGCCTCCGCACTGTTCAGCCCATAAGCGCTATATTCTACTTCGAACTCAAGTCTGAGTCCGAAGAAGCTCAGCACAGTGCACAGGCTCTGTAGCACCAGCAAGGATTCTGAAATACTTTGGGTAGATTTTTTACTCCAAATTTTGCCCAGCCAGCGCCGTTTGACTACTCTTTTCGATTTTTAACTGCCAAATAATTTTTTACGTGCCCAGCAATACACGCTTGCGTCCTATCTTACTACCCAGAGATCAGGGGAAATTACTAGAAGTCCACGTAAAAAAATCCCAGCCTTCATCGGAGCTTGAACTCGGAACCTATAGCACTCGAGGCGGACACCATACCTCGAGACCACTGAGCCCCCTGGGGAAAACAAGATAGACATTGCCTGCCTAAAAGCATGTCGTAGAAGTCTACTAATTTGGAGCGTCCTTCGAAGTCGGAGTACATCTGCCTGAGAGGCAAGGAACCAACAGTCTGCATCAAATGACTCACACCTGTGAAATGGATGTGCACTCAACAATCACTTACTGGAACATGTTCAGAATCCAAAAAGGGGACGAACAACCAGAACTTTCCCCTAGAGTTACAACCAGTGAACGTGAAGAAGAAGAAGTCGGTTTTAGTTACGCTGTTTGCTATACTGTGTATGGGGTTGTTACTCATGCGTTTAAATTTTTCTGTTAGGGTAAGCACCTCTTCTTCCCTTCGCTGGCTCGAGCTCTGGAGGTCAGATGTTGTCTCCAGCTCATTGATTGGCGTGCTTCTCATACCTTCAGTGTTCTGTATTTTGTCCAGTTGTATAGATTTGATTTGGCTGCAGTGGAGTTAAGTTATGTTGTGTTATGTTATGTTATCACAATCGACGTCACTGCATTGGGCATTCACATGTGTGCTCAGCCCTCTGATGCAGCAGCCACTCCAAAGTACTTCTACTAGTTGTTTTCACGAGAAGCTGGTTATATTGTCTCTTATCTCGGCCTTGAAGACGGTATAGACGTGCTTCACC